GCCAATGCAGAAAAACTTGTTATATTAGTAAATTTGTTATTCAGAAATGTGCCTCAAAAACAGAATGTCATCTCAAATATACATTGTTGGCCATTCAAGATTGAATACCATGAAAGAAAAAATATCAAAGCCACAATTATTAGAAAAATAGTGATGGATTTGTTAAATTTCGAGCACTGTATATAAATTATATTAATTAATTAACATAAATTAATCAACTTATTAATAGCTTTTGCAACATTTAGTTCTTCAGTGTGTTCTTTCTATTGCATTTGTTAACATTATATATAGCCGCCATGGCTGGCAGTAGTTGCTGTGAAAAGAGCGCTGGCTTTGAAAGAAAGAGACTTTGAATATACTAGTCTATCCTGTTTCCGTACATTGACAAATTTCATTTGGCAAATCCGCGAGTGGTGTGCACTGTGCTGTCATTTAACAATCATTAACTAGACATATTTGATGTAGGCTATATCGGAAGGACAGGCAGGCCAAGAGAGCCTGTAGTCTAGTAAGCAATGAACAACTTCTGAAATTAGCATGCTGCATGAGGTTTCGTTTTCTCCTGTTGAAACTTAAGTGCAAGCAAGCCTTGAAGGTAAAGGAGGACAACAAAGGTCTGCAGCAATAGCTGTCAGATGTGTTGACAATGCATATTAGGCGAGTGCGTGAGTAAAATACATAGTGGCATCCCAAATAATAATTAACTAATGCAAAGGTCATGATTGTCTGTGACCATAGTGCCGCCAGACTGGGATATGACAATTGTGGTGTTGTAATTGTAGTGCAAAATCAAGATTCACATGAAAAACAATAAAGACAATATGGTGCTATTTGTTTGTCCATATCTGCTGGTTAAGTCATCAGTTCAGTCTTATGTGCCTGTGGCATAATAATCTAGTAATGGATGCCCTGAAGATTTCCTTCCTTTGCAAATGATTCAAATGTTACATGTTGACATAGGCGCTTGTATGACAGACTGTAATTCTTGCACTTGGATTCTCAATATTGCTGTGCAGTCTATCATTACTCTTCAATCTGTCATTTCTGTGCGGGTCTGGGCTGTCCTTCAGTGATGTGATGAAGTTGGTGCAATATTTCCTATTGATTTGTCCTGTCCTGCTCCTCAGGATTCAATATTTACATCACTATGGCTTCATTTCATGCCATGCGAACTCTAGTTTCTCTGAAGTGTAATCTACTATCTCTGTAAGCCACAATTTAACTTGCTGTCAAACTGAGAAACTTGCTCGAACGATTGCGTTTTTTTTTTTTTTTTTTCATGCATATATTTTTCTAGGCAGTATTTTTTATATTTTAATTTTTATTTCCTGAATTATGTAAATTAAATGTCTTTTTTAAAAAAAAATTGATCAGTTTCATCTTTGCTTTTAGCCTTTGCTGAAGTACATGATACCTTTGGGTTTAGTGTATTTTGCTGAATACCTTATCAATCAAGGACTGGTAAGCATACTTTGATGTCCATAAAAGGTTAAAATGTAAGTTTTAACTTTAAACTGGCTCATAATCTTTTAACTGGCTCATAATCTTACTTTTTTCCATTATACATTAAATGTATATATCAAAAGTGGTCCAACTTCATGATTGAAAGAGCCACGTATTAAATTCAAGGACAGCAACTTATATAATTGTGTTATTTTGATAGCAATAACACATTTTATGAATAGAATATAGCGTTTGAAGTAAACTAGTTAGGGATTAAGATTTTTAACTTTAAATGTAGCGATTTATTTAAGATTAAAAAAAAAAAAAAAGATTCTTGCTGCTCTTGCTTTTATTATGGTAAAGTGTATTTTTCTAATATATTAATTTTAAACTTCTGTGTGTTCTGCTGAACACCTTTTTTTTCAGAGAGAGAAGAAGCATTTATTTCTGTTTTCCACTTTTTGTGTATAACTACAGTCAAAAGTCGTTAATCCGGACTCGTTGGGACTTCGGCGATTCCGGATTATCGATTTTTCCGGATTATAGAGCATTAGTTTAAAATCTGTAGTGCATGTATAAATATAAAAATTAAAAATATGAAACCGTAATTTATAAATAAAGAACAATTATGATCTAATGGGTATCAAAATTACAAAAAAAAGTTATATTTATTGGTTTACCTTTATTAAACATTTCGTTCAATGTAGTGTTAAGTTGCTTCGTTTTTTTTTTTTTATGTTGTTGTGATAATACATCTCGTTAACTTCTATTAAACAGAAATAATTTCTGTTCAGTTACAAAAGTTCCCGTGTACAAGTCCTATAATTGCTGTGTGAAAATACCGCTAATTTGTCAAATCGAAATTTTTTCGTTTTCAGTAAATTCTGTCACTTTCTCGCTATCGGAAAGCGAATTTAATGACGAGGAATTTGATTAAATCATATCAAAGACGGATACACGAGATGAAATACTGCTTAGTAGGAATTATAAGCCAAATAAAATAAAACATTGCCTGAGATAAGATAGTGCTGACAATAAATTCCAGTTCTTGCGCGCGCGGCGCATAAAGATAAACAGTTTCGTTTAAGACACAAAGGATAGCCTTTTTTCCATTTTTGCGCAATCCACTTTTTGTGTAAGGATTCGAAAACATACTTTGGCTTGGTAGATCTTACATGTAGTAAATATATATCGGAATTCTGTTTGACATAATCGAAGTCAAGCTTACTTTATAAAAGGCTCTAACATTGCAAAAAAAATATAGCTGAATCCAATTCGAGGGATTAAGGAACAACGCAATCGAAAATTAACGAATAGATAATTTAGCTCAAGTTATACCGTCCGTTATAATTAACGCGCATGCGTAAAGTATTGCGCACACGCGTATTCGCAGCCGTAAAGGTCTTAGGCGCGCGCAGAAAGTTTTTAGCTTTGAGGTCCGGATTATAGATCATTCCGGATTATGGGTGTCCGAATTAACGACTTTTGACTGTAGAAACTAATTTTAAAAGTAAAATTAAAAGAGAAGAAAGAGTGGTGTTAACAACAAGTGGGAATAAAAATTTTCGAATGAGTAAACAGTACAGCACGAATTTAAAAAAAAGGGAATGACATATTTTTCTCTACTTTTAACCTATAAACATTCCTCCAAAAAGAACAAAACAAACGACACAGTACAATAGAGAAATTAGATTACGTCGTAGCTGCTATCTGCTGAAAATGATTGCTTCTGAAAATTCTACAGAAATTAATATCAGTATGGATAAATGTAATACTGGAAATTATCAAATATCTAAAAGACGAACAAAAAAAGGTTCTAATTTTGCTATCAAACTAAAATATTTTATTTATGGAACTAAAATATTACAAAACAGGGAACAAACTTAATTTCGTGCAAAACAGTAGTTAATAATTCTTATGTATTAGTTTTTTACTGTATCAGTCTGACATAATTTATCATATACTGTTGATTCAGCAGTTATGATTCAATACCTTTTAAAATTATTCATCATATTTCTAAACTAATAAAAACAATTTTTCAATTGTTTGTTTTGGCAGCGGGAATATATAACTACTAATTTCTATCCAAGTGCCACCCAAGAAGCTGACTATTGTTTTTGACTTTACTGCAATCATTTGTGTTTTTGAAGAAGTTGACAGTTGAATGCTTGGAAAGTTTTATTTTAATCTTCATAGCTTTTAAGTGATTAACTTGAGAGTAAGATGTCTAAAAAAATAATAAGTACATTATATTTAAAAGAACCAATAGAAGTTATTGAAGATGTGTATGGCAGTCTGTTGCAAAGGGAGTTGGCAAAAAGAATATGATAGGTGGTTGATTGAATTTATAAATGTCATACTGCTTTAGAAAGAGAAGTGAGTAAGTTCATCAAAAGAGAACAATCAAGTAGGAAAACTTCAATGTATTCATTCCATTTTAATAAGGATTAAATCTGTTTCTGTAATTGCTAAGCAACAATTTTTTTGTTGGTAATTTTTTTCCCTGTTTTACATATTTTAACCTGTTACACTCTTAGACAAAAAACAAAACAAAACAAAAAAAAACTTTGCACCAAGAAGGATTTATCCGAATGGGACGAAAATCGGTAGAAATGATGTACATGTACAGAAAAACAAATGATTACAGTTTGAGAAAAATTGGATGATTTATTGAAGTGACAGAGTTCATAAGTGAAAAAGTTAGGTTAAACGCGTTGTCCACCTCTGGCGCTTATGCAAGCAGTTATTTGGCTTGGCATCCGATGGAAGAGGTGCAGATGTCCTCCTTGAGGCAATATGTGCCAAATTTCTATTCAATTTCGAGTTAGATCGTTCACATCCGAAGCGTTGGAGGGCTATGTCATAATGCTCCAAAACGCAAGTAAGCACTAAGGCATGCAGTAGGAAACAGGGCAGTGTGGGGGCGGGCATTATCTTGCTGAAATATAAGCCCGTGGCCAGTGACAGGAAGGGCGACACAACGGGCCTTAGACTCGTCGATGTACAACTAGGGGAAGGTGCGACGGATGACAACCAAAGGGGTCTACTATGAAATGAAATGGCACCTCAGACATCACTATTGGTTCTGTCGGCCTGGCTGCTGGGAAGACAATCAGGTTGGATCACACCGCTCTCCAGGGCGTCTCCAGATCACTTCGGCTGGCATCGAGGCTCAGTTAATAAAGCGGGGACTCATCACTGAAGGACTATTATAATTCATCAGGGACATTCTAGTGCGAATGCGCCCGACACCACTGCAAACGGAGAACATTGTACAGGGACTACGGGGTGCTGTGACCTCAGCACCCATCTCTGTGAGCCGTCTATGAATGGTCCTTGCAGTCACTGAAGCGCTAGTTGCACGTCCAATTGATGATGATGCATCTGGGGCTGTGAGTGCGCTCGGACGATTGCTCGCGTCTTCATGTCTGTCGTTTCTTCTAGGCTTACCGATTCCTTCTTGACATTGTGTGCGGTCATGCGTTCACACATTCCTGCCACCATCGTCTAATAGGGACATCGCTCCTGCTCAAATGTTGAGCTATTCGCGATAAGACCACCGGTTCTTGAGCCAACTACACGACCTCTCTCAAATTCTGATATCTGCGCATATCGTTCGCGGCATTGTATGCGAGAATAGTTAGTTACCGAAGTACACGGAATGAAATTCGTGAAAGATTTATGACATGGGAAAAAAAACTTTCGTAATTTCTCCTCTCAAATATCTTTCATTTTGCCCAGATGAAGATGGCACTGCTAGCGACACAAGGGCAGGCCAAATGTAAAATTTTGCATTTCCGTTGAAACCTGCTATGCCATATTCAAGTTTGGTCCAATTTGCTTATATAATCTCGGGGCGTCATTTGCCTTTTTTTTTTTTTTTTTTTCTTGTCTAAGAGTGTTATTTACTTACAGTAAATTATATTTAAGATCAAATTTTTATAAAATATTTTTTTCTATATTATGTACTACTCACCTTTTTAATTAATTTTTAGTTCTGTTAATGCAGCATTGTTAATAAACATTGTATTAACAAAGAATGTTGCAACAATATAGTACTCACAATTCTTTAATATCTTTAAAGAGAAGTAATACTGCACTTCTTCTCTCTCCTTCAGTATGTTTCTTGAACAGACTTTGAGAGCTCTAAGTGGATATGTCTGTTATGCAAATCAGTAATGACCATTCTTAACAACCATCTTCTATCTTCACCACAGAATAATAAAATTGTTTAGAGTCATGGGTGGCTGGCTTAAAAGGGTTCAATTCATTTGAAAATAAACTATTTAACAATCAGCATATTTCACTGAAAAATAATTGTATAGTCCATTTCTCTACATAACTAATGTATGGATTAATGTACACAGATAAAACCTACCCTTAAATCTTTTAATTAATTAATGCTAGTGGCAAAATCGCTGAACACAGGTAATTCTGACCTGGGTTGGAATCTAGGTGAATGAGTCCAGTTGCATGGGCGTTTTCATGATTTTCCCCATTTGTAACATGTGTATGAGCCAATTTCACTTAGAATGTCCTCCATGAAGGCATCCCTGCGTTTAGATAGATAGAGCTAGCGTATTTTACCATAATAAGCCAAACCAACCAAAGAACCATTTAATTAATTAATTCATTCATTAGTTATGAAATGGGCATGAGGTGTTCCTTTCACAGTGGAAGTTACAACTATATGTTGTCGTAAAATCACGTTACCTATCTGTTTGTTCTCCCAGCTGTAATCTACTAATTTAATAGTAATAGAAGTAATATAGCTACAGTTGTAAACTGCATAAATAAATTATTTGCTTATTGTGTGTTATGGTACATGTTTTGAAACTGAGTCACTTAATATTGTAACATAATGCAATTTAAAATATTGAATTACTGATTTAAAAAAATCTTATCTTAGGAAGATTTCTGTTTCAAATTATTGTTCTTTCAAAAAGTAGAACTGCTGGTAATTACAACATGAGTTGCATTTAAGGGCCTAAAGAACCACCTGTGACTCACAAGCCATAATATAGCCACAATTTGTTATATATAATTGTAAACTGTGCCTAAATTCTATTAAAATCCATAGGACACCAGCTCTGTTACTTCAGAATTTTTGAGAGAAATAGATGTTTAGAGTTGCATTACTCCAAAGCATCAAATGAGACAAGCTCATAATTTCATTATGAAACTGCAAACTTTGTTATTATATTTCAAGACAAGCAGAAAATTGTTTTTCACATAACATTCTTTTTAAGAGTTAGAAAAACAGATATTGTTATTAGCTGTTGAATATGCAAGAAATTTTAAACTGATGAGGGTAAAATCTGATTCAAAAAGATCCTGCAAATAAGTAGAATATTTATGGGTTGTATCTATTTTGTCAAGAAGGCTTAAATAGTTTGTGAATCAAAATAAAGGAGCTATTTTATCTGTCTGAGAAGAATGCAGTTTAAAATATTTACATTTCTTTTCATCTTCAGTTGGTACCATGCTTAGCTATTATAAATTAGGTTACTTTCCAGCTATTTCATTTTTGCATTTCAATTTCTGACATATTGAATTCACTTCACTGTTTATCATAAACTAATTAATTTATTAATATTTTTATTTATCTCATTTTATTTTATTTAATTTTAATCCCTCGATGAATATTTATTGCTTTGATATTTTTTGTTCTGCATTTTTAAAGACCTTTCATAGAGCTTTGGTACTTCAAATTTTAAAAATTAAGTCTTGATTTTTGTACCTATAATACACATATACCTATAATACATAATGTAAAAATTACATGACCTTTCCTCCTTCAATATGAAATTGGATTTGGACATACAGACCTTTTCTCCCTCTAACATTTGATCTTGAACTTGAGAGCTCTATCACTGCTGGTGGCAACTGTGAAAAACCAGTCAGTGACTCTGGATGTGCAGTAGCATAAAGATGTGAAATCCACCTCATCTATGATTCCTTATTTATTATAATTGTTTTTCATTATTTTGTGAAGTAATTCCCTTTATATATCTGATTTTCTTAATTTGAAAGGTAATGACAAATTTTTTAGCATATTTTTCTGTTGTTGCTATTAAATTTTTGGTTGTTTTTATTTAATAGTTCGAGCTTTTGTACTTTCCAAATGCTGAAAAATGGCTGAATCAGAAGGAACAATACCGATGGTAAGTGAGCTATTTCTAACTTTTTTAATTAAGATTAGAAATACTGTGATATTAAAATATCTGTTAACTCATCGTAATTTAATTATAGTGTGATGCTTTTAGTGCAGGTCAAATTCGTCAGTTTTAATTTTAAAGTCCATTGCTAGAACAGAAAATATGACTAAAATACCGAATCCTGAATAAAAAAAAGTCAATAATAAAACAGTTGTTATATTTTTGGTGGAAGAAAATATATTTTGTAGAGACATTAGGAATTTTTTGGAAGCAGGAGAGATGAAAAATTTGCAACGCCTTTGCCAGGAATCGAACCGCGGACTTCTAGAATACGCACCCAGCGTGCAGACTACTACACCACGAAGGCACGCTAAGAAGGTGGGAGAAATATCTTATAATTTACTTAATTGTTTTATATGATAATATTTTGACAGAGTTATTAATTTGTAAGACTAACTTAGATGAAAATTAATTTTTTATTGAGGAATTCAGTGCTTTTCTCATTATTAAATGATTTAATCTTTAAACTCAGACAGTTTTATGGTAATTTCCCCACAGTTTTTGTGAACTATACACATTATGTCAGCCTTGATTGTATGAAAATTAATATAAACATAAATATGGCTTAGAATTATTTCAAAGATTTCAAAAGCATAGTTAGCGCTGATCAGAAGTGCAGTTATTTTTAAACATTGATAGAATAAAGGTTATATCAATGCAGTTTTCAAGAGTTAGAAGCTGCTTTTATAATGTTTTGTAATCTATTACAAAATCAATATTTTTGGTTATTAAGATCATTTAATGTATAACTTGTATTTTTTAGAGATTAAAATGACTTTTTCTTAAGGCTGTATCCAACTTATTATATACCAATTTGCTAATGCTTGTTAATTTATTCAGATTATTTATTAAATTTACTTTTACCTTTAACATTTTCAAAGGTGTAAAAAAGTACTGTGTTTATCATTTCATAATGGCTTCTTCACTCTTTTGAAGTTCATTATGATTGGTAATTCACAAAATGACATGTTCTGCGCTAAGAGTAGGTTTTGAAATTAATATGAGTTACAGCTGGAAAAATTCAAAGCAGTGAAATGTAAATATATCACCTGATGTCATCAGACAAATAGTATCTCTGAATAAATGTATGCTGCATTATTCAAAATCACTGATGAAATATAATCTTGACAACTGAAAATGTATGAGTGATTTAAACCAGCATTTATGTGGACAAGACAGCATATGCCCAATCACTGCTGTCAGATCGTACAGTTTGATTCTAAAATTCAGCTAAGAATTTAATTTTGTAAATTGAGTCTTCTGTGTTCATTCTTCATGTTCATTATTGATAGTGTACCCAATCGAATCATAGCATTATTGTTTTATGGCAAATTGAAAATAATAATAGTTATTAAGTCTTGTTAGTTTTTTTCCCTCTGCCTTGACTCATTAGGATAGCACACAGTATTAAATAAACTTGGTTTATTAATGGACTAATTATATACATATATACATCCAGCTGTATGCTGGGGAATCATGATCATATCGCTCACGTTCTTTTCTCTACCACTCTCTGTCCTGCACCCTCTAATGGTGGTTATTTTACAATGCCATCTATCGGCGGATTACAGTGGAAAATAAAAAACCGGGAGGAAGGTTGAAGTGTAATTAAAAAAGTACAAAAAAACATGTCTCTATGGAAAGCAAAATATAAAAATTAATGATAAAATTACCTTTTAACATCAGAAATTAGTTAAGAGAATGGCCCTTTAAATAATTAGTAAGTCGCCCCTCCATTCATTTAATTGCGTATTTTATATCAAATATATTGTATTATATGTGTGAATTTTGAAATGGAAAGAGGTAGCCTGAAGGAATATGTATTGTGTCCTTTAATGTATGGTAGCTTCATTGACATGCTTTTTTTTATGAGGCTCCTAGTAATTCAAACTCTTATATAGATTTACACTGCTCGGAAAAAATAGGGATGTTGTAAGTGAGATTGGTATAAAGCAACCATATAATCGACAAGTCTTTTAACAGAAATGAAGGAGAAAGGAAAGAGATTAAAAAAGAGATTAAAAAAAGGAAACTTTTATGTTTACAAACTTTGGAATATGCATATTTTTTCTGCGACACCTCGAAAATTACGAGTTTTCGGTGAGGAGCAAAAAGGGATCTACAGCATTTTTTTATGTAATAGGAGACTAAAAGTAATTGACGTACATGTATTGCTTCGTAGCAGTGAATACGATGTCGCAGCAACATGACTTAACTGAATCCATAGCCTAAAAGGGCCAGCCCACCAGCGGCCGAGCGGTAAAGACACTAAACATTGGTAGTTCGGTCCGAGACAGCGGGAGAAATCGCTAGACACAAGACACAGGCGACTGGACGACCGATATCGCGTTTTACCGTGGCCAGAAGACTGCACGGTGGTGGTCTGTTTGCACGACGCCCTGTACGGTGTGTACCTCTAACGCCTGCCCATCGAGAAGGCGTTCTCTGTGGTGCCGGAACACCGGAATTGGAGAGACAATGAATGGGGACGAGTACTCTTACAGATGAGAGCAGATTCAGTCTGAGTAGCGATTCTCATCGCTACTCTCTGGAGAGAGCGGGGAAGCCGCAATCATCCCTCGAACTCATAAAAGGACAGGTATGGAGGTGGCGGTGTTCTCGTTTGGGGAGGCATCATGCTTGGTGTCGTACAACCTTCACATCTTCGACGCAGGTTCATCAACGGGACCCGTTATTGTAACGAGATTCTTCTTCCATATGCGTCTTTTTAGAGGCGCTATGGGTCCGCAGTCCTTTTCAGGACGACATGCACCATGTCATCGCACAGTAGTAGCTGCCGAACAGCTCTTAGAGAGTGAGATATTGAATGTATGGATTGGCCGGCACGATTCCGGATCTCAATCCCATCGAGCATGTATGGGCTTTTTCTAGGCAGGACGCTGGCAGCTCGTACTTACCACCAGTAACGATCCGGAGCTTCGTTGGCGCTGCAAGACGAATGGGCAGCAATGCCTCAACAACTCATGACACCCTCATCTCAGCATGGGCAGACGCTGAAAACCTGCCTAGCAGTCAGGGGAGATCATATCCCTATTAAAGACCGGATGTTTCTTGCTGGACACCCATCACAGGGATGTTTCGGCCTTCAGTCGCATTGCGCTCCATGCTACTTTTTCAATAAGCTTCTTTTATCCCTCTGATTTCTCTTTTAGTAAGTGTTGCTTGCATTACTCATGTCCTTACGTATTGGGGATCTTACGATATTAAATGTGTTGATTTGGAAACCTTTTGTACAAAGTTATATTGAAAAAACCGTCTTGTCCTTAATTTTTGCACACCAGTGTAGTTTAAAGTGGTGATTATAACGAACTCGGTGCGTTCAACGTTTTTATGCTCATGTGAGACGCTCAGAGGACTTTTAGATCACCCCTTGGACTTACTTATCAACAGTGCATTGATCTGCTCAATGGAAAAGAGCTTGGTTACGAAACATTCAGACTACCTAAGCGGATCATGCATAGGCACCGGTCTAGGACGCCGATTTTCGAGGTTGCTATCTAAGTTATTATTGCAAGCGACCACTGAAACGAAGGTGTTTATCTTATTTTAACACTAGAATTACTGGAAAGTTCAATTTGACCTTATCTCCATTTTAATTGGACATAACTTTTTTATAATTCTTTATTTATAATTTTGATATTTTTTGACTTTTTCTAAAAACTTATGAATAATATTACATGATATTTTTTGTTCATTTTAAGTAATTATTTTCGACAATATTATTGCTTATACCTTGAATTACGGCTATCCAGAAAATTATAGATTTCCTAATATTTTTATGACTTTTTTAGCTATTTTCGGTTTGCTGATAGATAAACAAGTGTATTTTTGGTAAGAAAGATTGCATATTTTAGAGAATTGAGTAGGGAGGGGGAAAATAAAAGCACCTGTTTAGAATTTTTGTGCACCATGTGTCTGTGCATTTCGCTTGTGTTAGAAGGTTTATTTTTCAGTAGACACAAATGTACTTTACTACTTCATTTGGATAAGTTTGTTGTTCTGACCTGTTTATCCTGTCGCGTAGAAACGTTGGTAGAAAACATCTAACGAAGGAAGAGATGCTGAAAGTTTTTGAAAGTCTTTCAGATGATAATTCTGCTTCAGAAACTGAACCTGATGAAGAATTTCATACCGAAAACTACATCCAGTTTTTCCTACGAGGAGTGGATTGTTTTCTACTGAAACAAGTGAATCCGATTCGTCTGATGGAGAACCTGTTCACGAAACAGTAAAGGAAAATAGAAAATTTAGATCAAAAACCCAAAGATTGCAAACTGATCCATTTGCCCTCGTTTCGGATATTTGGAATGCTTTTATAGAAAATTGTTTGAAATGTTATATAAACCGGGCGAAAATATAAACAGTGGATGAAGAATTATTTACCATGAAGACCCGATGCCGCTTTATTCAGTATATGCCTAAAAAGCCGGACAAATTCGGCATTAAATTTTGGCTTGATACTGATGTGCAGTCAAAATATTTACTGATCGGATTTCCTTATTTGGGAAAAGACGAAACAAGACAAACTGGAGAAACAGTAGGTGAACATACAGCTTTTCGCTTGATGGAACCGCTGAAATTAGTAAAAGAAATGTGAAATTCAGGGACAGGCTGCGTTGCCACAATAAATCGTTTAAAAAGAGAAGTACTGTATTCTTTCAAAAATACGACGAATGAGCTCTGTTCTAGTAAGATTGCTATGCATGACAATAAAACGCTTACGTATTATTAAGGGGGGAAGAACAATAACATCCTGCTCTTGAGTACCATGCACCCAACATTGGAAATCGCATCTGATCAAAAAAATGCACCGGAAGTTCTGAATTTGTACAGATCGACCAAATATAGAGCTGATGTTTTGGACCCGATGGCCACAAAGTAGTCGGTGAAGTCCTCATCCAGCCGTTAGCCAGTTCAAGGTGTTTTTTAATAGTCTTGATTTGGCCGCGATAAATGCATGGGGAAATTACAAGGAAACAACTGAATATAAGAATATCAGCCGTCGTGATTTTATTTTGATTGCGGCTGAGGAGCTTCGAAAGATGTACATTTCATCCAAAACTCACAAACTTTCTGTATCTAACTAAAAGAGAATTATTACTTGCGTCAAACCCTTCCCGTAAACGTAAACAATGCCAAATAAATGCATACAGAGGGGCAACAAAACTTTAAATACGTGTAAATACTGTAAAAAATATGTTTGTGGAACCTGTACAGGTAAAATTTTTTTAAAAAAATTAGTAATCTGTTTGCAAAAACGAGTAATGTAAGTACTAATGTGTATAAATTTGAATATATTTATTTCATATTGAAAATTTTTATGAGGCACTTTATTAAATGATAAGAAGTTTAAAAATAGCTATTAGTTGTTTGTTATATTAAATTATCTTTCGATTAATATATTTGCTCACTTTGCTTTATTTTGCTCTTTGTTACATTAAAGTATCTCTTGGTTGCTTTATTTACTTATTAAACAAGCAAAATGTATCGTTATAAGCATTAACTTTACATAATATTAGCAAAAAGCGAGCCTTTTCTCATTCGAACAGCGGTCAGAATGACCTGTTAAACCGGTATAGTAGCGAAAACGCCGTAATGCTAGTGTTCATTTATTAATATGTTATATCTTAAGTTATATGGGGCGCCAAGTATATTGATCACCTATGGCGTCGAAAATGCTGGAGCGCGGCTTGAGTCTGAGCTATGTGTATTTTTTTTTTTTTTTTTTTTTTTTTTTTTTGAAAACATGCAGCGCATATAATTTCAAATATGCAGCACATATAATTTGAAAACATCCGTGCACCACATATCTACAACACGGGGCTTACAGAAGTAAGTTAATTAAAACATTAAAAGTTACATGTATAAATAAAACGAACAAAGGCAGAGAATAACAGTCTGGACTTCACGAAAACAGGTAAGTTCACTGGCCAAGTCACTTCGAACATTTTCAAATCGTTCTGCAAGTATACTCTAGAGCCACCAAAGGTAGGGCATGAGAAAATCATATTTTCCACATCCTGAGGTACTCTTTTTGAACACTCATATAAATTGTTTGATCTTAGATTAAAACGAAACAGGTAACTTGCAAATTTACCGTGATCAGATAAAAATTGAGAAACTTTGAACTGCTGATATTTTTTATCATTTATTAATCTGCTTTGTGTCGATTACATTTTGTTCGCTAAATAGAGAAGCAATTTCATATTAAATCACTAAAAAATTTCAAATCGTTGTGTATTAAAGTGAAATACTATAACAGCGTTCGCTTAAATAATTACTTTAGACAGACAAAAATGAAAAATAATTATTTTAGACAGATTAAAAAATGAAGTAGTATTTTTGTATGAACCAAAGTCTGAATTTAGTCTAAAGTTCCTGAAGTACCTTTGTATTAATAATTTAAAACTGCATGTTAATCGTCACAATCCTTCCATTATGAGTTTCATTAGTATAATCGATTCTTAGTATAAATGAAGTAGAAGAATCGATTTCTCAGTGTTTCAAGTAAATTAACACGTTTTTGTGTTACAGGTATCAAGTTGACTATCAAATCGGGGTTCTTATATCTCGATCTTCTGTTAACCTTTTTCAAGTGAAACGTTTGTGGATTTTGCCAATTTTGCAGGTACGTAAGCGAAATTCCATTTATTGAAATTAATATACTAGTTGATTGAAGTGAATTTAAACATTTGATGATTACTGTCTGCACCAATTGCTCAATACCCGTTAATGCAATAGTGCTGAAATTCTTTTACTTTTGCTGAATGTATACTGAAAGAAAATGTAAGTGCGAATTTCAACTGTCTCTAAAAGTTCGTTTATATGTGTACTCAGTCACCGTTAGATTGTTCTTGAGTGAATGTGAAAACTGATCCGATTAAAATCGTTCCGATGATAAACTTTTCTAGTGTTGTTTTGTTCTTTATAATGTAAATATTCGCCATCTCATTATAAATTATTCATTTGTAAATTCTATTCGAAAATTTTATGGCTGGACATATTCACTGAATTTTTAAGAATTTCCCTCTGCTCTAAAGTAATGGTCCCATTGACAAACGAGGATAAAGATACTCTACCGCTGGAAGTCCTTTTATCTGCTGCATGAAAAGTCTCATACAGCACTTTATGCGCTTTTTACTTTCATTCGACTGGAACCATCATCCTTTCAGATAATTGTTCAGCGGCCTGAAGAGAAAAATTTTGTACTGAATGACAACTCAAGAATACAAATATTAAATATGTACCTTACAACAGATAACTTTAAAATTCTTAACCAGCCGAGCACCATTTACCATGGCTTCTAGCCTTAGACGTTAACAGTTGCAAAAATCACCCACCAAATTAAAATCGCCACATATTTGGATGTTTCAGCGTATAAACAGCTTTCTTAGTGAGTTGCCTCAGCTCTCTTTTTAAAATACAACTTCGCTTGCTATTTTTATTCAATTTAATTTGCCTTGTGGTAATGGTTGGTTTGGTTTATTTGATTATAGCAGAGCATTCGAGGGTTATCTGCCTAAGAGATGCCTTCATGGATGCATTTCTTGGAAAACTGGCTCCTACAGACATTACACATGGGGAAACCCACAAAGACGCCCATGCAACTAGCCCTTTCGCCAGGATTCGAACCCGACTCGAACTACCAGTGCTCATGGACTCTATCGCTCGGTAGTCGGCTCGGCCGCTGGTAGTCTGCATTGTGCTAATGCTTGCAGAAAGAAACAGGAGGTAGATCTGGGTCAAAGCGTAGGCAGCAATGCGCAGGCGACAGTCGAGCTGTAAGCAGCCGCCTAGAACGCTAATTTTCAGGGGGTGAGTGCCAGCCAAATTATTCTCACTAGCAAATGCTAAATAAAAATAAATTTTGTTTTATATTATTAATATGTTTAATCCATACGTAGCGCCAACTGAACTGACCGCCTAGGGCTTCGAAAATGCTGGAGCCGAGCCTGTTTTTAGCGAATGAGTTTTAGTAATCACTTTTAATCTCTTAACAATGATAATACATCTCTTAAATTACGGATAGGGATTCATTCATAGGATATGTTTGTTTTTGTCTTATTTTATGTTTCTTTTTTACTTTGGTCCTTAAGGTGTTACCTCTTTCTATGTAGGCTGGACGTTCTTCCTATGAATAAATGAATATCTATTAAATGAAAAGTTTAGAGCAATTAATTCCTTTAGAATATTTACTAATAGGGAAATTTTGGCAGTCCAAAAACGTCATCGATTTTTAGTACCACCCGGTTTTGACGACGTTGATATAGAAGGAAGGTGGCCACAGAATCGAAGAAATACTGTATGTCTGCTCATAAAATAGTTAATTTCTTATTAATTTGTCAAAATAAAATATATCATTCAGCTGGTTTGATTTTTTTATTTCTTGCGCATAATGTAAAAAGTCCAGTAGTGCCTCACATTTTTTTAAGGCTATATTAGATTTACAGTTTTTGAAAATATTCGAATTAAATCTCATACATGGTTTATAAAAATTATTTCGTTGATATATGTAATGACTATTAATTACTAAAAAAAAAAAAAAGCAAACATAGCACATATTGAAAATTTATTAATTTTGATCCTTTAATTTAATCGCTTATTTTAAATCTAGGCTGGAGTTACTATTAAAGCGTAATTAAAGATATGAAGTCAGGGAAGGGAGAAAGAAAGATAAAATTAATTTTGAAAACTGAAGGGAAACATTTGGAATGACTAGGGATAGGAAGAAGTATATAAGGTAAACGCAGTGAAAACAATGATTAACTGATAACGCCAATGCACTGGAACTCAGCTGAGTAGACAACTTAACTTCACTAATTAAATATTGAACTTAATTCATCAGAATTAATTAATGAATGAATTAAAAGAATAAAAGCTGAATGTTCTTTGTATTATTCAGAAACAATATTTTGTGAAACTTATTTAAATTGATTTTAATTTTCATCGTTTCGAAAAATTTCAAGCGCTCTTTAATGTGGAAATTTATAAAGAGGAAAAAAAAAAAAAAAAAAAAATGCAAGTAACTTTATAGGAAAATTCAGAATGATAATCTTAACGGAATTTGGAAACTAAATACATAGACTGAAGACAAGGCGGACCGAAATTTCTTGTCAAAATCAAAGTTCATAAAAATTTGGCTGAGGGCAATTCCGTATTGGGCAAAATGCCTTGTGGCATTTGCTTACTATTCTTCTGGTGAGGGTTGGTTTTTTTAAAAAGGGAAAGCTGGTATAAGATTGGGGTCACTGCAATTTGCTGTTTGTGCTAAAATTGGATTTTGTTCCCTTTGGAATTCAGATGAGTCACATGTATGAGTAACGTTGTGTAAGTCGTACCTTTTAAATATTACGTGTAATATCACGTCAACTACGCCTCTTCCAGCAAACGAGTTACGCTCTAGTCAATTATATTCTTTCACATCTTCTTCTTCCTGTAATATTTGGGCCCACCAGCGGCCGAGCGGTAAAGTCGCTGAACGCTGGTAGTTCGGTCCAAGGCTCGAATCCCGCGAACGGACCGGCTGCGTGGACGCTTTCGTGGTTTTCCCCATGTGTAACGTGTATACGAGCCAGTTTCCCTTAGAAAGTCCTCCACGAAGGCATCTCTTCCCTTAGGCAGATAGCCCTCGAGGCTTTGCCATAATTACACACACACACTGTAATATTTGTGAAGAAGACCGCGAAGAGAATATTGTTCAGTGTTTAAAATGCAGAAGATGGGTACACGACTTATGTGCTGGCGTTGCCTAGAAAATGAAAAATTATCTTTGTGATCATTGTTGTATAATTAATTGTGTAAAAAAATAAATTGAGAAAAATAAAGTTTTATTATAATTGTACAATTTTAAATGTAGTACGTCTTAAGCTATAGGTGGTACGACTTAGAATACTGATTGTCTAAGTCATTAAGTTCATGTTCATAAATTTTATTAATTGAGTGTAGACTGTATGGAATTTTATTGTAATAAACATCAGCAAAGACAAGATGTTATTACCACATATAATTTTTATTTTTTTCATAGATCCTACGATTTATACCTATTTTTTCTTAAGGGGTAAGGCTTATGCAACCGTACCCTATCCTGTCCCCTTTTTAAATTAAAATTTGGAAGTGCAGTATTCTGTCCCTGATCCTTTTTTTTCACTTTCTTTTTTTTTTAATAAATATTCATATTTCATTGCATAATTCTAAAATGTAATATTCTTTGGTTGAGGAATATGCTCTCCAGTATCCCTTTTCAGGAACAAAAAATTCTTTGCTCTTGAAGAAAAGGAACATATGTCAAATCGATCTCGTAACTGATAGCGATTTTATTCTAAATCTACGCCAATGTAAGGCTGTTCTTTTTTACCTACTTTTAATTTTCACATTGGAATGTTTCTCTTTTAATTAAATGAATACAGTAATTAAAAATATGTGTGGCAAAATTATATTTTAAATTAACAAATAGCGATAATAAACAGAATTGATGAACTAATCATAAATAGAAAGTTAAAAAATAGTTTAGCAGCTTTTAATCCTCTCACTGCGTAGTTTTTTTTATTAAGATAGGTTCAAAATAGTTTTGGAGTTAAAATATACAAAAAAATTTTGTAAAAGTGTATTTTTCAATATAGAATTAGATCATAGAAAACGATTGTCAGAATACTGAAATTGAAGAATAATGATATAAAAGGAAAATTTTGAAAATTTAAATTGTTAAATCATCTGATTATTTATAAATACAAAAGCAAAACATAGGTACTAATTAAAATTTTGCATATCAATTGCACCACTGTCGACATTTTCAATGGAACTGAATTTTCAGATTCATCCTATCTGCAGAGGAATCCGAGAATTTCATCGTTCGCAAAACTATCTTCAATATATTGAGTCAGAGTCAGAACTTACATTGTCGGAAGTTGGTAGGAATATGTTTATCACTCGCGACACGCTTCCTGCCAGACATCTTTGAGCTCTGAAAGCGCGCGCAAAAGCACATTAATATCTTGTATTTGGCAGAATTGGGGAACTAACGCCATCTGTTCACCACTCAAATAAACAATTAACATCACCGAAATGTTGGCAGTGGTGATAAAGGCAAAGCATGTTTTGCTTCCCTTAGATAAAGCTAAGACTAAACTAAATAAAATTCTTGCTTTATTCCGTAAATGAAAAAAGAGCTAACACTGTAGCCTTTACATTTTAAAATCATTTGATTGAAAGCAAAACTAGCATATGCAACGAAATCACACAGAGAACAAAACAGTCGCCGAACCGCGACATAATATTATATCGGCCAACCCGTCGATCTTTACGTCATCGCCAATCAGCGGCAACCCGTTAGCTTCCGCCGTCGACCGATCAAAATTTGCATGATGAAAACTAAAGCCAACAACGGCCCTCTTTTCCCCATGAAAAGGACAAAAAACAAAACTTTCCACAGAAGTTCATAGTGCAATTTATTATACCGAAAACCCTTATTGTCTTTAAACACTGAAAACATCTAAACAACACTTCTTAAATTAAAAGCAGTCGACTGCTTTTGTAATAAGTCGGCAGTATTTAATTCCTGGTGATAAAGTTCAAGGTCCAAACACTCCATCTTACTAGTCTCTTCTAACAAGATGATTGATTTTACGTCTA